AAGCGCTCCAGGAGTTAATCTTCGTCACGGAGGGGTGAATTTTTTTATTCATAGTAAGACTATTATTAATCTGTAAGTCTTAATAAAATTTTTCAAAGAAAGATCAACCCAGAACAGAGGTACATAGAATATTCATTTCGTGACAGACAACGATTTGAAATCGGACCCAAGCTCTTCGCGGGATTTTCAAAAACAAAAAATGGCGACCTCCTCTGAAGGTTGAAGTGAGTTGTCTAAAAATTTTACCATTTTGTTAACAAAAATGAGTAAACGAAAAGCGCCTGAACAGAACCCAAACAGTGATTTTTGCGATTTCCTTACCGGTGAGTAGTTTCTATCGTCTAAATTTAAAATAGTTTGGTGTAGATATTAGACTTGGCGCCAACAGGCCAACAAAATATTGAAAACAAATTTGCGGTTTCTCATGAAGAGCTTGCAGAATACGAAAAGAACGTGTCAAGACAAATACACAAGCATAATGCATACAGGTGGGTATACGGGAAGTTATAATTTTTTTTAATATCTGTTTTTTATCTTTTTTTTTTAGTTGTGGGGTATATGAATTTTGGAAGTTTGCTCTAGGGATATTGCATTATTGTTTCTCTTAACAGAGTGTAAATAAGCCTGACTAAAGCTGATATTAGCATGTAGTTTTGTAGCATGAATATATTAATTCAATGCAGTGTTATATATAAATATGTAAAATCAATTATTAAATCTGTCTGATGAGTGTGTAAGCACGAAACTCCAAATAACAGAAACCATGTGTCATCTTGTTTGATCGCCATGTAAGGTATGTAATAGGCCGTGAACAGAGACGGCAGACAACGAGAATAAAAGCACGTGTAGTTTAATGGCGAACTGAAACAGAAGATCAAAACAAGCCTGTCAAGACTGACGGGTAACATGCGTGACGTGTGACAGGCAACAGTATCGGCTAGTTCCTCACATAAATTCAGTGTTATAAATATAGAAGTTTAATGTTATAAATATGTTAATTCAATGTTTTAAGGTGGCAAACAAAGTCTTTGGTATTATACTATGCCATCTACACAAGTTGTGCATTCATAGTGTTTTCTAATGTGGGGCTTTTCTTGCTTCAAACATGAATGAGTATTGAGACAAGACAAGACAAGCTTTGTTTTTTTTTTAAAGACCGAAAGTTATTCAGCAACTCAATGGTCTAATTTCCCATACTCCTGTATGGTATGATTAATTCTATTTTAAACATGAACTGCAGTTACGTATGGCACGATCCTCGCAGTAGATAGCGCTATTTAAGCAATAGAGAAAATCAGACCTGAAGGATCGTGCCATACGTATCTAATACCACAGTTCAAAATATATGAACTTCATATATTTCATTGTATCTGATGAACTGCAGTTGTTAATTAAAACTGGAATGCTAGACTGGTCCAGGTCTTAGTGACTTTGGCTCGATCTATTCTAAGAATGACAGGGGTCACCAAGCAATATTTTAAATAGGGCCTCATTTGAACTTCAATATAATTGCTATTTATTAAGCAACTGATGAATAGCATGTGCAAATTATTGATATTAGGCTTGGTTCAAGCCAATACAATTAATTTGTCCTAGTTGAATGCAGGACTCACTACCTCATCCCAATGTGGCTTGGTAGTTCTGTAGGTTATGGCACATTATTTTGTGCAAGAGTGTGAGTTTGAATCCCATGAAAGTTTGGAATATTTTAAGACTTCTTTAAATGGCATAAATATTTGTGTAAATATTTGATTGTCTCCAATAGTGGGTCAAATATTTGAAATAACCACATAAGGATATTTTATGTTTTGTTTAATTTTTTGTCCATATCTAGTATATTTATAAATGACCTATTTTTCCTGTATGGGAATGCCCTGAAGCTTTAACGTTATGACTGACTAATTATTTGTTTTTAGGAAGTATGAGAGGAAAAGTTTGATAAAAGGTTTACATAGTTCTTGTAGGGGTTTTTCAAACAGATCAGGTGCTGAAAAATACATTTTAACATTTTTGCTCCATATCAAAGCCATTCTGAAGAGAAAATTAATGGCCCTGAGGCAGCAGATAATGATAGTCCATCCTTTCAAATTTCAAATACCTTTTTTATTCTTTATTTTATTCTTCATACTTGGTTATTTGATAAACTAAGCTTCAATTTTGATTTGTCTATTGGTTGTGACTTGGCTCATAAAAAGCTTTTCTGGTGTCTCAGGGAGAGATTCAGGAAATTTTTTATTGGGGGGGGGGGGACGAGGACAAAAAAAACTACCTTTTGATTAACCCATATCTGATTATTAACCTTTTCCCCCTCTTCACTTCTGTCAGTATCAATTTATGAATATCTTTATCCAGGAAAGCTGCATCAGTATTAGCAAAGCACCCGACTCGAATAAAAAATGGACAGGAGGCACGTAAATTGGTAAGCTGCAGGTTTTTGTTTGTCAGTTTCTGAAAACCAAAAATATGAAAAAATACATCCATTCAGTTAAAGAAAATTGAGCTCTGTCAAAAAGGTTTTTAAGCATGTGTTTTCAATTGATAGCTGCTACACCCAACACATGAAACTTAGCAAGAGTTAAGGACTGATTGAGAAAAGACAGTCATCATCTTTGAATTGAGTGTCCATTTAAATGTAATTCAGGAGTACTGGATTGGTTTTGCTTTATGTTGCTCAGTGTAATTGGCTTAGAAAATGTCGTCATGGCACCTCCTCAACCAATCAGATGCAAAAGTTATTTCACACAATTGTCAACCTGGCCAATTGTATTTTTACTGTGCTCCAGTTATTCACCTTTTTCTTTATTACTTTGAGTTCTCCTTGGCTCATTTTAATATTTTCCCGTGCCTCTTTTTGGCTGTTGTGATTACTTTCAGTTGGATTTGTTTTATTATGAATAATTTTCAATCAATCTTTTCTCTATTATCAATAGTTATTGCATAATCCAATTAAAAATGAGCAATTAGGGTTATTAAATTTAGTCTTTATATTATCTTTTCATTGATGTGCTTTCTGTATACTTGCAACACACCAGCCTGGGATTGGAGATAAGATTGGGAAAAAGATAGATGAGTTTATCAAAACAGGAAAGTTGGAAAAACTTGAAAAGGTAATAATATTACGCACCATGCAATTGATCTATTCTTCTGGTTTTAAAAGTCCTATTCAACAGGTGACAAGTATTCACTGCAGGTTGACTCTACCACCCTGTCTCCCTCCCCTCTCTCCCTCCCCTCTCTCCCTCCCCTTTCTCCCTCCCCTCTCTCCCACCTCCTCTCCCTCCCCTCTCTCCTCTCTCTCCCTCCTCTCCCTCCCCTCTTTCTCCCTCC